GGGGAAGCTTGACAGCCGTTGACGGTTGGTTAGCTGGTGGGGGGGTGGACAGAAGATTCAATGTTGCTTGGACCCGGAAACTCGCACCATCCCCATGTTCACGCATTGCCGTAACGACTCTCAACCTGACTCTGAGAACTGCCTCTAGTCCCCAGTTCTCATTCCCGCATCACCTTAGTTTGCTCGCCATGGCGTATCATAATCATACCAGACATGCTTGTGTTCCCTACTCCCAATGGTTCGAGAGGCACCAGCCACTGTCTGCAAACTTGCTTGTCCGCCAACTGAGAACTCCATGTGGAACGGCAAAATCTAGCACAAAAAGGTCTACACAACTCTGCAAACAACATGTTCAAAGGCGCAATACAAGCTCGTACGTGAAGGCATGCATATTATATATAGCGGTGGCCGGCCTCGACTGATTTATTCCATCCTCATTCACCACACCTGGGCGACCACCACTTACCTTTCATTCATACTAAACGCCATCAACAACTTAACATGAACATGAAGGCTCTTCCATTCATTTCCGTCCTCACCCTTGCTCTCGCATCCCCCCGTATCACAGATACGTCCATCGCGCCCAACTCGTCCACCACGCCGGCGCCCACGACACCCGACGGCACCATCTGCGAATGCGGCTATACATACTGCGCATCAGTCCTCATGGCCATGAGTATGTCTCAACCTCAACCTGTATAAAAGCCAAAGTGCCCAGGGAAACGCTACCAGACAACACTAACGCGTTGGACAGAGAAGCCGTGGACCACCAAGCAGCTCGCAGAGGCATACTGCGCTACCCCAAACGCCGTCTGCAGCAGTGGGAAGCCGAGCACGAGCATCAACTCGGCCTTGTATATCTGTCTTTGTGAAGACCCCGGACAGAAGCTCGGGAACCAGTTGGACTTGCTGTGTGGGTGCGACAAGTGCTTGGTCGTTGGGCCGGATTTCCGCGGGAGATGCGAGACGCCGTGCCACGCTGGGCAGTGCAAGACATGATGGTGTGAGCAAAGAAATTGGAACAGCCGTGCCGTCGCATGCGCCAAAGCAGAGAGTCGCGGGCTGATCTGGAAGTTTGAGTCAAGGGGAGGGGGGCTGTGGTGTTGAAGACAGCCTTGGTTCAGGAATGGCTACATAAACCCATTTTATGTAGTTAATTTCGTTTAATTTTTTTTTATTTTTTCTCATTCAGTTCACTTGTCATGGGTATCAGAAGGAGTCTTGTCCCTAAGAAATGCGCAATTGAAGCCGTGGAGGCAGCTGCACGGCTGGATGTAGGGTAGCAATGCATCATACTCTCGAGTTTAATTAAGCCCATGTTTTGCTTCATAATGTTTTTTTTAATAAAAAGAAAAAACACTTATGAAATACGTGTCTGTAAATTTCATTACTTGCAATTTTTAATTTGACTAGTAGTCGTAAAGCTTTTGCAAAGCGTTGTGTCAAGAACCTCTAGCCTCATGACCGCTTTATTCCGGCCGTCGACATACAATATGGGCTGTACGATATTGTTTTAAAGCTCCTATTTACTGTGTCAAACCCGTTTAAGAAGGTTATTCTCACTATGTATTGGCTCGCCAACAGAACAAGGGCTATTTTTCGAGACCTTGAATAAGAAATATATATATACCCATCTATTTGCGTGGGCAGTTACGGTTCCCCGGCCTAGGTACGGCCAAAATACAGTGTGCCCTCCATCTAGCCCCTTTTTTTCTTTTTTTCCATAATTTAATATACACATCTATCTTGGTGATTAAACTCTTTTGCCACAACCTTTCCGACACAAAGCTCTTGGCTTCATCCAGCCGGGCCTCTTGATTATCTCTGATACCATATGTGAACAGAGAATATTTTGCAAAGTTACATGGTAGGGACCGGCAGAAGCGGCAGCGTACACCGGCAGACGTGGATATAGTTTGCAAAACTGCTATATTGACCCTGCTTCACATAACTAGTGCCATCTACCCCTTTAACCCAAGACTTTATGAGCACAGCTTCCCCGTGCCAATACCAACTCAATTTGTAGCCCTTCTTCCGACGCTTTATATCAATACGCATCAGCCCGATACATCTCTGCGGAAGACAACAATGGAGAGCAGGACTGCGACTGTCGGCACACGTACATTGATACTAACGAGTCGGGCGAGTACGATTCGAAAGGCTAGCAATTACTCGTATCCTTTCGCACAATGACGTTCCAATGCTGCTCTGCAAACGCCTGGCCTAGCAATCTGTCGCCCTCTTTACACTTGCGGAAGATTTCTCCGGCACCGTCCGCAATGTCCAGCCAACTGTGGACACTGAACGGCTTGCGGTTCTATGCCGTTTAGCTAAAAACGTAATGCTGCCTAGTCTCATGAGAAAAGCACTTACATCATTGCACCACCATATGGCCGAATCGTACGAACAGCTGACTCGGCCGCAGGCGCCTGGGCCCGGCCCATACCTGGGGCTGCCTCTGAGTGTTTTCAGATACGATATTCCCGACCCGATAGCTCCGTACTCTGCTGGTTGCCAGCCGGGGGGCCGGCAGTCAACTTGATAGAAGATGTAGCGTTTGTCGAGCGAGGCCCTGGCTTCTTCGGGCTCCCGCTGGGCAACCACGTCTTGCTCCCATCCTGGGTTCAGCTGCGTCACTTGACTGTGGACCTTCTCGACGGTGCCGGTGAAGTTCTTGAGCTGGCCCGGGAATACTTCCACTTCCCACTGCAACTCCGTGACGGTGTAGCCGGGGATGGGGGCTACGACGGCCGAGGCAGGACCCGGGGCTGCAAGCGCCTGCGATGAAGGTTAGTACCAAGGGCCTGACGGAGGATATGGGACGAGCTGTCATTTACCCCGGCCAGGAGAAGAGGGAGGAATAGTAGCGTCTTGGAGGCAACCATTGTTGGCAAAAGTGACGGTTGGGACTTTGGGGACGAAGCGGTTTTGCTGTTATGAAGCTCTGGATTCGTGGTTGGCACCAGGAACGGCTGGCCACCAATTTATATGGCTTCCAAGTTGTGGATATCTCCATGATGGGGTTTGTATATTGGTTTCATTGACGCTTGCACTCCTCTGTGGCCGACAAAACGCACATAATCAGTTGGAGTCTATAACGTGCTGTTATGTCTCAAGGTCCGTGGTCGTTGTTTGCGATAGCAAACTCCATTCAAAACTGCATATGAATGCGGATCAGCAGATGACACTCAATTTTAACAATGGGAGGTGTGTGAGTCAAGCTGTTGGACGCGAGACACCCTCCACACCCTCCACATAGGTTTCGCAGCTTTGGATCGCCGTGCGGCTATCGCTCTGAATGCCCTCGGCCTTCACTCAATTTGAGCATTTTATTTGTGCCGCAATTGCCAGGAGTGTATCCTGCGCATATTGAAAGCTTCACACCATGGGCTTTGAGAGCTGTCATGCTGCGAGCAGGTTGCTCTACCCAACCGCGTCTCCAGGGCCATTCTACCTATTGTTGCCTGTGGCTGAGCACAGCGCCCGTCTCTATTTCACAATCTGAAACCGCATAGACGGCAGTGTCTTGGATAAACGTTCACGTTTAAAAAGAAAGCTGCTCCGCCATGGTTTGCGCCGTCAAACCAACACCCGAGACACTCGTCAGTGCTTCGTATCGCAGTGCGGCTGTGCCCAACGCCGACGGAACACCTGCCCTCTTCACCGAATCCGCTCACGAGACTGGGGTGAAAACGACGACTAGGCTGAGCGTGCTGACTATCTAGAGCAATACGTTTGTAGAGATTGCGGACGGAGACGGCGTGCATGATGCCAATTGGGTCCCGGGCACCCGCGGCGAGCTGGTGTATCTCAAATCCGGCGGCCAGGGCATCATCCAAGTCATCATTGCGAGTGGGAATGGGAGCGCTGCGTAGCTTCCACGCTTAATGCGCCAGTCGGCAATTTGAAGTTGAGGACTTTGGGAGATGGGGTTGCGTTTGTGATAACCGGGTTGATTGGGCCTGATGGGCGTCTTTACAACGAGACGGTTGTTGAGAAACAATCGACCGTGAGAGTACTCGAAGAGGCTGGCGATTCGATTTGTGAGTCCTTTTTTGTATCTGTGCCTTTTTGTAGAGTAGCCTGCTTACCTATCTAGTGGAGTGAAGCATATCGAGGCGATTCGCCCTCTGGTAAGAGTCACGACAAACTCATCCGCCGGGGTGGAAGATGGTGCAGCTTACAGACCATGTCCACCGTCGATATGTACGGCGACGGTAGTAGTACCGGAAACTTTTACATTGAACGGGATGGAATTGCGGTCGTCGCGAGAGATTTAACCTGCCGAAATTCTCAGGAAACAATGGTCTCTATCCAGCTGTACGTCCGAACTGGAATCTTTTACGTCACCACCTTCCCAGTAGCCACGGTAAATTAAAAGTCCCTCCCGTCAGGGGAACCTGAGGAAAAGGATATGCAGGCAACAATTGGTTAGCCCTGAAGGCGTCGTCGTCGCGTACCTCTTTACGCAACTAGGCAACCTATACAACAACCATGTCCACTTTACGCCGACGCATACTCTCATTGTGAGCAAGATGATCGGGAGAGAGAACTGGGAGAGAGCCACCTGCGCGATTTGAATTCACCGCATCTTCGTCGATGTTGGTCGTCCAGAGTGAGAGGCACGGCCGATCTCAACTCGACTATGTAGACGTCTTTGACGGAGAGCGCTCAAGAACGTTCTACCGCAGCGGAATGTCAGGGCGTCTCATCTCTTCCAACAAGTAAATTGGATAGATTGGTAGTGTCAAGCTCGTCCCTGACAGCGAGCAGCAAATAGGAGCTTATAGGTGTGCCGGAGCCAAGGGTTCAGATCATGGGACCGTCTGTGAGGAAGAATGATATGAGGTTTGGTCTATACGAGAACATGGCAAGGGAGTTTTGGTTCATGGGTGTAGACGAGGTGCTCGTTCATGCGTTCATGGTTATTTCGAGTGATCTTGACGAGGGGAGGACGTATCCGGTTGTTGTGAGACTGCACGGAGGCCCGGTTTCTTCGTGGACGCATTCGTGGACGGTGGCGGTACGGTTTTGGGATGTTACCCTGGAAAAATTGCGACCTGGGCTTCGTTGATGAGGGGAGAGCATTGGGTATGGGTTGGACTTTGCGAGAAGTAGTTGGTCCCTGGCCGCTTGCTTTGAGATGGTCTGTTGACTACTGTCTAGAAGCCAATGATTCATTGGGCGGGAACCCTTTTAAAGATCTCGAGAAGATGACGGATTACTTGGCGAAAATCATATTCCTACACATGGACAAGTCGGTTCTCCTGGGTGGTAGTTGTGGCGGCTATATGATAAGTTGGTGCTTTGGTCACGACATTGTCAAACAGGTTTACGGTGGCCAAGGCTCTCATAGCTCACTTGGTTGCAAAATGCTGACCTTGGGAATCCAGTTCCGATGCGCCATCTGAACGACGGCATATTCAACATCCCCTCGTTCCAGCTTCAAGGCGACGTCGTGGACAACGACAGGCAGCTTCGGCTCCTTGCTGTACCCGTGGGACAGAATAGCGCATTTGGAAGCATTTCAAATCGCCGAAACCGATGCTATTGAGGAACGGGAAGAATGCTTCTCCTACAGTCATTGTACACAGCGACAGGCACTACAGATGTCCTGTGACGGAGGGACTGGCGGTGTTGAACACGTTGCAGGCGCACGGGGTGCCGAGTGGGTTTTTGACATTTGCTGATGGACATATTGTGGAGCATTACTGGAGTGTACGAAGTAACAGGGTTGTGTTTGGGTGGGTTAAGAAGATGCGTTGATGAGGATATAAGAGGGGTGTAAGAGTTGGTGATGGGTTGTCAATCTCGGAATAGCGTTTGGGATATTGAGTTATTTGTGGGGTCGTAGCGAGATACAATGGCTGCAGAAAGGCACTAAAGTCGGTTTGAATGACTGTGAACATCAATTTATCGAATAGCAGCTCTGCAGTTGCAAATAGCACTGCCGACGTGTCGGGCTGTGGCAGGGATGGTCATGGAACTGGGCATCGTGGGCCGTGGCTTTGTCGCAGCTAGGCAGGCAAGTTAGTTACAAGTCATCCAAATACGGAAGTCCTCAGCAACAAGGACGGAGCAATTCACACAAAGACCAAGGATCCAGAAGACAAAAACGCCATGACACAATGGTCACGCTCTGGCTGTCGGCGTCAAGGCGAGGACAAGTCGTTCTCCGCACGGAGCCGAGATGTTGGCCCGACGTAGTACCGTATCCCCTGCAGCGTGTCGGTGTGTCGAACGGTGTCGAGTGACCTTGTTTGAGGCTGGATGCATGGAACACACGCCGAACAGGCAGAATGGTGTGCCACTTGGTGGCAGACGCAGAGTGGTGATGTTGCATGGCCGTGCCCGGATGCTTTCCCCAGATTTGTGGTGGATTTGCACGTCAAGGACTCGAGCGCCTCGTGCCAAGACGCCCCACACCGCTGCCGCCTGCCCGCAGACCCCTGGGACCCCGCACCAGCTCACCTCAACTTGGCCTCCAAGTACGGAGTACCTGCACAGTTGGGTACCGGGCACCTGTGCAGAATGCACCTGCGCTAGGTAACGTTGGGTAAGGTAACGGGGAATTGACACCACCTTGACGCGCTTGAATGCATGCAACTTTGTCTGCGGACCGAGCAAGGACTGACGATGGCATAGATGGAATCACCGCGTGAATGGCATGAAGTACGGCACGGCCGGCCGGACTGAGCTGTTTGAGGTTTGATGTTCCATGCAAGTTGCCGTCCAGCTGACCAGCGCCGCCAAGTCGAGAGCACCAGACGCAAGTACCCCAGTACCCAAATATCCCGTACTCGGTTACCTGTGCTTCTGGTTTCGGCGCTGGTCCCGGCCTGGCAGGCGCCAACAAGCCGCTCCTGCCTGCTGTGCGTCCGACAATGGCTGTAGTCAGTGAACTGGCATTCATGTTACTCGACTCGTCATGCCACTCAGGCCTTAAGCGCCGCCTCCGTCCTCCAACTTGTTGTCCAACACTTCAAGACTACCCCTCCTTTATCAAAGCTTCGCCTTGACCTCTCTGCGTCTTTTTGACTTCAGTAAGGAATCAAGGTCGCAACATTACAGCTCCTGTTGCTGTTTGGCAAGTGACCTGGTATTTGATTTCTGTCTTAGGCCCCATCCCCCTTCACACTCGTCTCGGCTATGCTTTGTGCGTTTACAAGCTCAGCTTTGCCCTCGTGACACTTCTGCTTTTTTTTCTCACCGACTACTCCGTACCGAGTAATTTTACTACAGAGCAATACTCAAACGCGTCGTCCCTCCAGCATTGACCCTGCGCGACGCGGTTCCATGAAGACCACTACCAGATGACCGTGCTGTCATAATGGCGTCGAACGTGTTCCGCCCGCTCTCGTCTGAGCTTTGCTATTCCTCTTTAACCGTTGCTCGCTTCGCGCAACGCCGCCTCCGACTCAAAGGTTGCATCTATTTTTTTTCTCTTCTCCTTGCTTTCTGCGATTTCTATTGCTCAATTGCGTACTGTGAACTCCATTGACAACAATCGACTAACCGCGCCGATTTCGGAGGTATAGATGTGCGTCCATTGTCTTATGTTCGCCGCCAGTGGCACAATACCCCTGGACAAGCCAAGCAGCGGGCTCTCGTTCCGTCCGTGACTCGCAAGTCCCTGGCACTGGTTCGCCATGCTTCTGTCGTATCGACAACAGCTCCGGAAGCCGGAGCACAGCAGCATTCTACAGCCGTGATACCTCCGACAACACCGTACGGTCACCTTACCGTTGGTGTGCCCAGGGAGATCTACCCTGGTGAGCGTCGAGTTGCCTTGACGCCAGCCAATGTCGCACTTTTGCTCAAGAAGGGCTTCAGAAAGGTCATTGTTGAGCGCGGTGCTGGCTCCCAGGCCGAGTTTCTCGACGAGGCCTATGAAAAGGCCGGCGCTGCCTTGGTTGACGGCCCACAGGCCGTGTGGTCCGGATCTGATGTTATTCTAAAGGTTCGCAGTCCGTCCACAGACGAGGTTGACTCTATTCAGGAGAAGCAGACTGTCATTTCTTTCCTCCAACCTGCTCAGAACCAGGATCTGGTTCGAAGGATTGCAGAGCGCAAAGCAACCATATTTGCCATGGATATGATTCCTCGAATCTCCCGTGCTCAGGTTTTTGATGCCCTCAGTAGTATGGCAAACATTGCTGGTTACAAGGCTGTTTTGGAGGCATCCAATGTTTTTGGACGATTTTTGACAGGCCAGGTTACTGCTGCTGGCAAGATCCCGCCCTGCAAGGTCTTAATCATTGGTGCCGGTGTCGCTGGTCTGAGTGCCATTGCTACAGCTCGACGAATGGGCGCCATTGTTCGTGGATTTGATACCAGACCTGCTGCCAGGGAACAGGTGCAGTCACTTGGCGCCGAATTTATCGAGGTTGACATCCAGGAAGATGGCTCCGGAGCCGGTGGTTATGCCAAGGAAATGAGCAAGGAGTTCATCGAAGCTGAAATGAAGCTTTTCAAGGACCAGGCCAAAGAGGTCGACATTATTATTACCACTGCCCTTATCCCTGGCAAGCCCGCTCCGAAGCTTATTAAAACTGACATGCTGGATGTCATGAAACCTGGAAGCGTCGTGGTTGATCTTGCCGCCGAGGCTGGCGGTAACTGCGAAGCTACCAAGAAGGGCGAGTTGGCAATGTACAAAGACGTCAAAATAATTGGTGAGTTGGCCGTGAAATGTGACCCGCCGCCGCCTTTCGTGGTATTGACGTAGATGCAGGATACACTGATCTGCCTTCGCGCCTGCCGACCCAGTCTTCGACCCTCTACTCGAATAACATCACCAAGTTCCTGCTTTCAATGGCCCCCAAAGACAAGGAATTCGGAATCGACCTATCAGATGAAGTTGTGCGCGGCTCAATTGTTACCCAGAATGGTGAAATTCTGCCCCCTGCTCCTCGGCCTGCTCCGCCCCAAGCTGCAGTGAAACCTACCGCTGAGCCTGTGGTCGAAGTTGTCGAGCTCACTCCTTGGCAGAAGAAGACGCGAGAGGTTGCAGCTGTTACCGCTGGTATGGGAAGCGTGCTCGCCTTGGGAAAGTTTACTGGTCCGCTCTTCATGTCCAATGCTTTCACCTTTGGATTGGCTAGTTTGATTGGTTATCGTGTTGTCTGGGGGGTTGCTCCTGCACTGCATTCTCCTCTCATGAGCGTTACAAATGCTATTTCCGGCATGGTGGGTGTTGGTGGTCTTTTTATCCTGGGAGGCGGTTATGTTCCTGAGACGATTCCCCAAGTGTTTGGTGCCCTGAGCGTTTTGCTTGCCTTTGTCAATGTTGGTGGCGGGTTCGTAATTACCAAACGAATGCTGGATATGTTTAAGCGTACGTTTCCTCAAGTTCGATACTCGTCAGTACTGGAATGTTGACATTTACAGGGCCGACTGACCCCCCCGAGTACCCCTGGCTGTATGCTGTGCCTGCAGCTCTTTTTGGTGGAGGGTTTATTGCTGCTGCGTCTACCGGGGCTGCTGGACTGGTCCAAGCCGGATATCTCATTAGCTCCGTTCTTTGCATTGGGTCAATCTCTGGGCTTGCTTCTCAGGCCACTGCCCGTATGGGCAATATGCTCGGTATTCTAGGTGTCGGGTCCGGTGTTTTGGCGAGCCTACTTGCTGTTGGATTTTCTCCTGAAGTTCTGACTCAGTTTGGAGTACTTGCCACGGTTGGTGCATTAGCTGGTAGGTGTTCTGGCTTGACTATCCCAGCCCTCATGCTGACGGATCGCAGGAATGTTGATAGGCAAGCGAATCACGCCTACCGACCTTCCACAGACAGTTGCTGCGCTTCACTCCGTGGTTGGTTTGGCTGCTGTCTTGACCAGCATTGGTAGTGTTATGGCTGACGTTACTGATATTTCAACCTTGCATTTGGTTACCGCATATCTCGGCGTTCTTATCGGTGTGTAGCAGTCATTCCAACTGTATTCCGCGGGATTCTTAGCTAACATAGTGTAGGTGGCATTACCTTCACTGGCTCTCTCGTCGCATTCATGAAACTAGCGGGTAAAACGTCATCTAAACCCACGATTCTTCCTGGCCGACATGTGATCAACGGGGGATTGCTCGCTACTAATATGGCTACAATGGGCGCCTTCATCACCATGGCGCCGGGAAGTCCCTTGATTGCTGCAGGTGCTCTTGCTGCAAACACGGCACTTAGTTTCGTCAAGGGTTACACTACGACTGCCGCAATTGGTGGCGCCGACATGCGTATGTCTGCAGACACTCTACATTTAATGAAGTATGCTAATCGAGTTTAGCCGTTGTCATCACGGTGCTGAATGCCTACAGCGGATTCGCCCTCGTAGCTGAGGGGTTCATGCTGGACAACCCACTGCTTACCAGCGTTGGAGCGCTGATCGGCGTATCCGGCTCTATCCTCTCGTACATTATGTGCGTGGCAATGAATAGGTCACTCACAAATGTCTTGTTTGGCGGGCTGTCAACACCAACAGCAGTGCAAGAGTACAAGCCCCAAGGAGAAGTTACGCAAACAAACGTGGATGAGCTGGCAGATGCACTGCTGAATTCGGAATCAGTGATTCTGGTTGTTGGCTACGGCATGGCTGTGGCAAAGGCCCAGTACGCGATTTCATCAATTGTGTCGCATTTGCGATCCAAGGGCATCACTGTCCGGTTTGCTATTCATCCCGTGGCAGGCCGAATGCCGGGTCAGTGCAACGTTTTGCTTGCCGAAGCCAGTGTCCCGTATGACATTGTGTTGGAAATGGACGAAATCAACGACGACTTCCCCGACACTGACTTGACTGTTGTCATTGGTGCCAACGACACTGTGAACCCCATTGCTATGGAGAAGGGCAGTGCAATCGAGGGTATGCCTGTGCTGCATGCGTGGAAGAGCAAGCAAGTTGTAGTGATGAAGAGAGGCATGGCAAGTGGATATGGTACGTTTTTCTCGTCGAAATTGTTGAACTGAGCTGACAGGTGTAGCTGATGTTCCTAACCCTATGTTTTACATGCCCAACACAAAGATGTTGTTTGGTGATGCAAGGAACACTTGCGAAGGTACGTTTTACCGACCAAAGGAGATGTAACAATATGCTAACTCCCTGCAGCAATCAAGACAGCGATTGAAGCTAAGATGTAGAGCGCGCATAACGGGAGTTTATGTATAGTGCATTTTGGTGTTTTGATAATGACAGTAGATGAGCTAGATGGCTAGAAACTGTTAGAATTTAGCGGCAGTACATATTGAAAAATGCGTTGCTTTGGAGTGTCATGCATGTCCTGGTGAATATTTTTGGCTGCAATGGGCCTGACGGCAGATACTCTCTGTGCATAGTGTACGGTGGTTGTGAGACATTCGTTTTGTTAGCTCGTCAAATATCGGATCGGCCGGTGATGTGCAACTTAAAGTGCAGCAACTGTGGTAACTTGTTCGTTGGGCAATGCACACAATAAAGGAAATTCTTTGATTCGATAGCCCATCATCTATTTCTACAATGCATATGTACAATCCCCCTCTCGTAACCATTCACGTCCTCTGCGCAGCAACGGGCTCCCATGCTGAAATCTTGGGCTTGGTCCTATTCGAAATAATCAGCACCCATCCCGACGCGAGACTACCACCGACTTCACACCTCCTGGGAGTTCACTTACGTGCTGTACGTCTTGAACGCGCCCCTAGTCTGAGTATAATTTGGGATGGGATACGGCTTCTCGAACTTCCTCAAGCCTGTAGCGATCAACGCATCCTCGGTGGGCGGCTTGTCCACAGAGTACGAGATCCATGCGTGCCAGCCAGGTTCGATCTGGGCGGCGTCGTAGTCGTGCTTGGCGTATTCGACCCAGCGCGTGCGGAGGGGTAATTCTTCCATGTTTTCAAAGAATTTGTTGCCGGCGCGATCGGTGCCTACCAGGCGGCCGTATTTGGTGTCGCCTGCACATCAGTTAGCTGTTTAATTCGATTTCGGTGGCCGTGCGCAGTTGATTGAGTCCGTACCGATATACTGTTGCGGGGGGAAGAACGAGGTTAGTAGACCTGTTCATTCTGTCGATCGAGCGTCGGGGCAGGCAAAACGTACCAGCATTTGGCGGAAGTAATCCTACACAAGTTAGCTTCTGGGTAGCAATTGAACGGCGAGAAGACGAACCTTGATGCCAATCTTGCGCAGGTTGCTCAACGTACGGGGAAGAGTCGACATCTTGGCGGTTGACAGTTGCCCGGCAAATCGATGAGAGGGATTGGGGACTTGACGTCGGAGTTCAGAGCCGAGTCGTACGTAGGATGGACCGGGGAAACATCGGGTAGATGGGTCATCCAATGGGAATGTTCAATAGGTGAGGTGAGTGAGCTCAGCTGGCTCAGGTACTCCGGGCAGTACCAAGTAGTTAGTACCCAGCCTATATAAACTCCACAGCGCCAAACTTGCGACTGGACGAGAACTGCGAAAAGCTGCAGAATTCCTTGACGGGATTGCGCAAATTCGGCTGGGAATGCTTACACGCACCTGCACGAGGTTCCTGGCACGGCCACGGCCCAGTGCACTACGGAACAATGTGTACTCGGTACGGGCGCAGCGTAGGTCGTTTGGCAGTGCGCCTTCAGGAGCTGTTGCTGCGCCGGGCAATGGCCTTCATGTAGGAACGCTGGTGCCGATCGTGAGCGAGCTGGATCGCATGGCGCCGAGCTTTGATCTGACGGGGGAGGATATTCGTGTTATCAGAACGCCGGCGGAATTTTACGAAACCTTGAAGGTACGGTACCGCTGCCGTGTACATGTAGCTAGACGCCGCAGATGGATACTAATTGATATAGGACCGCATACGTAATGCCAAACGACGAATCTTCCTGTCAACTCTTTATATTGGCAAATCCGAGAAGGAGCTTATCGAAACCCTGCGAGGTGCCCTTTCGCGCAACCCGGAGCTGAAACTTGACATATTGACAGACGCTCTGCGCGGTACGAGAGAGGCACCCGATTCATCGTGCGCGTCGTTGTTGGCACCGCTCGTTACGGAGTTTGGCGCAGAAAGGGTCGAGATCCGCATGTACCACACACCAAACTTAACGGGATTGAGAAAGAAGTATATCCCGAAGAGGATTAATGAGGGCTGGGGCCTGCAGCACATGAAGCTCTATGGTGTTGATGACGAGATCATCATGTCAGGGTGAGTACGGCAAGGTTCGACATGAACTAGGCAAGGGGGCTGACATTCGATAGTGCGAATCTCTCCACAGACTACTTCACCAATAGACAGGACAGATACCACCTCTTTTCGTCCAGAGAGGTTACCGAACACTTTTGGCGCGTTCATAGTGGAGTTGCGTCGTTTAGTTTTCTGGTTGAGCCATCACGGGAGGATGCCGGATTCACGCTCACTTGGCCTCAGACAAACTCTGCGCCATGCCCCCTCGAGGATCCGCAGTCCTTCATCAAGAGCTCGAGCCGGGCGTTGAAGGCACTGGTTGCGCCCCAAGCCGAAAACTTGCCCAAGGGCGACTTTAGCAACACGAGGGTGTATATGCTGGGGCAATTCTCCCAAGTCATGAAACCGGACGAGTCTACCGAACTGCCTGTCATTACACACATCCTCAAACAGCTTGCTCTGCCTCAATATCGCGGCTCGTCGTGGACGTTTACAGCCGGCTATTTCAACCCGGCGCCGTCGTTGACCAAGCTCCTTATCGGCACAGCATCCACCAACAACACCGTCATTACGGCTGCCCCCGAGGCAAACGGCTTCTACAAGTCAAAAGGTGTTTCAGGCCTCCTCCCCGATGCATACGTCCTTCTCGCCCGCCGCTTCCTAGACCACATCAGCCAAAGCCGCAGGGACAAGGATATTGTCCTCAAGGAGTGGCGGCTCGGAACAGTGGGCCACCCCGGCGGATGGACATATCACGCCAAGGGCCTCTGGGTAACGATGCCAGGCGAGACGACTCCATCAATGAGCATCATTGGCAGTTCTAATTATACAAAGCGCAGCTATTCGCATGACTTGGAGGTTGGCGCGCTGATCGTGACGAGGGATGAGGCGTTGAAGAGACAGTTGGGCGATGAGCAGAGCTGGTTGCAAGAGCATTCGAGGAGAGTGACGAGGGATGACTTTGCCAAGAACGAGAGGAGGGTTGGCTTGCAGGTGAGAATAGCAATGTGGATTGTTTCGTTGGTGGGCGGTGCATTGTAGGGTGCGTTTTAGACTTTGATACCCAGTATAGAAGGGCTGCATGGGGGGAACCCCCTTTTGTATGTTCTACCTTGATCTACACGGAGACAAGACATAGATTCGACTGCATCACACTGGAAGCTTTAATGCCGGTGAGATTTTGTGCTTCACCGGGGGGTAATATATTTAATACAGAGAAATATAATTAATTGTACAGTGATCAGCATCCGGCTTTTGGATTTCACAAGACGACCTCGCCAGTTGAAGGAGCACCCTTGGCCAACCCGCCGACCGTGATGCGGGTGACCAAGTCGCTCTGATGTCTCTCGATCATCTCCTTCAGGACGCTCCTCTCCATGACAACCTTGCCCGTCTCCAACAGGTCCTTGACATCCACATCCTCCACGTCGAGCGCCTGCCCCTCCCACGGGACCTGCTCCATAGCCTCGTACAGCCTCTCCCTCGGATCGCCGGTGATGAACAGTGTTCGTCCATCAGCGCGTCCCAGACCCAGCGTGCGCAAAACGCCCGTCATGTATTTCTGCAGGTACGTCTCCCGCAGCCCGTCCTTCATGTACTTGTCGGCGAGCATTTCAAAGTCCGGCGGCAGAGCAAGCTCCATTCCGTCCTCGCAGATAATCAGCTCGCCCCGTCTGTACCTGTAGCTGAGGGCTGTTCGCCAGGCCTTGTCGTAGACCTTGCGGTTGAGCTTGGTGCCGAAGTCGCGGGGCTTGGGGCCAAAGGTCTTGCCGCCGCCGCGGAGGACGGGGCTCTGCTTGGTGCCGAGACGGGCGCGGCCCGAACCCTTTTGAGGACGCACCTTGCGGTGGGAGCCGTGGACTTCGTGGCGGGTTTTGCTGGAGGCGGTGCCCTGGCGCGTGTTGTCGCCCTCGAAGGTGATTGCGTGGTGCAGGATGTCGCGCCGGAGGGGGAGGTAGAGATGCTGGACGGACCACTGCTCGAGGGAGGTTGGTTCGAGCGAGGGGAAGCTGTGGATTGTGACGGGGACGGTTGAGACTGCGAGTGCTAATGTTAGCTTGCGTGGATAGTCGGTCGGTCGGAGTGGTGGCTGCGTACCTGGGTTCCAGGACTGGACGAGGGATTGTGTGCTTGCGGATCGGGTCAGATCTCGGGCGGGCGCTTCCGTGGCCATCGACCTTGAGATGGGCTTGCTGAGGGTGGTGGGCTGCAATGGGAAGTGAGCATGGCCGTCTTTTTTGACGTTGATGGTGATGGGACTCACCTTGGCCGACACCCGCAGTGCAGCCATTGCCTCATTCAGGCTTCCTAACCCCGTCCTTGACGCCATCATTAATTGTATGCGACGGCGTAGAGCAGCCCAACTGGTGGTGCAGGCTTGCGCGGTCAAGCTGTTTTCTTGTCGATGGCAAATTCGTGCAACGGAGGTTTGGTTGCTCGAAAATCGTGACCCAGTTCTTCGCCTGCTGGCAATACGGCTTGTTCCGCGCCGACACCCCGAAATTTATGTGGGTCCCCTCGCGTGCCAACGTCAAATCATCGGCTCGTAGCATTTCGGCGTGCATTTTCTAGATTTGAAAGCCACAACCTTCACATAGCCGTCGAGCCAGACACCAAAAAAATGTCGCGGTGTCAGGCTGTCGCGCGGCCACTTGCAAGGCAATTGCGACAGTCATGCGCCTTTCGGCCATTCACGACGGGCGCTCCTCGAGCCGCCGAGGCTCAGGAGCAAGCTGCGGCTGCCTCCAAGGAACCTAGCGCCTTGGACCTCGATCCTAATACTGTCCTTCCCGAATTCGAAGCCCAGCTGATCAAGGCTGGTACGATGCCAATTGGCTCCAGAAGACGACGAGTAGCCATGCGCACGACACAGAATATCCCGTTTGAGCAGCTGCCGTACCAGGCGTTTCAGGAGGCCCGTAAGATTTTGGCGGCCGACCGTGAGGACAAGCTGGCCAAGATCAAGGCGGAACTGGAAAAGATTGCAACATTGGAGGCAAAGGATGCTTCCGAGGTCAAGGGTGGGCAGAAGGCGAAGGAAACCAAGCTGGCGAGTTTGAGGAGGGAGGTTGAGCGGTTGAAGCTTTTGGCGGATGCGAATGATCCTTTGGTCAAGAAGCGATTTGAGGACGGCTTGGGTGAGTTTGGTATTTTTGCCATCATATATACACCCCATGTTTGCTGACTATTCACGAATTTAGGCGACATGAACAAGCCGATTTACCGTGCCCTCGCTGAGAAGAAATGGCGTTCGTATGATCACCGCCTCATCACCCAGCGTATCAAGCAGTTCAACATCGTCCCCGACGTTCTGCCCAAGCTGGAACCCACCGCCGACGTACAGCTTTACTTTCGCCAATCCAAGATTGCCCCCGGCGACATTGTAAACAGCCAGGTCAGCGAGCATGCGCCGCGTCTACGCGTGCAAGTCTTCGACAAGGGCGAGCGCCTGGTCACGGTCGTCGTTCTGGACTCGGACGTCCCGGACATTGAAGGCGGCACCTTCACCAAGCGATGTCACTACCTGGCTGCCAACATCCCCATCAGCCCCACCGAGACCTCTCTCCCGCTGGGCAAAATCGTCGCCGAGGACCAGCTGGCCGTCCCCTGGATGCCTGCCTTTTCCCAGAAAGGGGCCCCGTATCACCGGCTGGGCATCTACCTGCTCGAGCAGCGCGCCGGCGAGAAGGTTGACGTCGCCAAGCTGAAGGAGCTATACTCTGCACGCGACGGATTCTCCCTCAAGTCGATGCGTGACAAGTTTGGCCTTGCGCCCTTTGGCTTCAACTTGTTCCGGTCCGTCTGGGACGAGAACACGGCCGCCGTCATGGCCCGCCACAATATCCCGGGTGCCGATGTCGAGCTGCGGCCCACGCACGTGCCAAGCTTGAAGCCGCCCGTCAAGCCCCGCGGTTGGGAGGCCAAGCGACAGGGGCCCAAGTACCGCCACCTCTGGAAGTATACCAAGCGTATCAAGGGCATTTCCAATGCCAAGGGCTGGATCAAGAGGAGGTGATTGGTGGTTGACGGGTTGGCGGGAAGCTTTGTATCATATTGTCAAGTGTATTGAAAAGTGAAGCAATCTCATGTAGAACAATAAAAAACTGTCCAATTAGACGTGTACCATGATATCTACAGTTCCACAACGCAGTGCTGTTCGTCAATGACTAGTTGTTGTTGTTTCCTGTGAGCACCATATCTAGACCCTCTGAACAATACATCGAGCCTAGTCGGCATCAACACCGTACATACTGATCTTTATAGACGTAAGATGCGACGTTGCAAGTTTATTGGCTGATCTACATATACCTGGCTCCCGAATTGTTGCATTTATGTAACTTCTGGTTGGTCCGTGTATACTGTGACTGCCCAGACGACTGGTGTCAAAGCAATCGCCGGATGACATATACGGAGAGGGGGAGGCCCTGACCTGTAGGTTCCAACGAGGGTGCTGGCAGAAATATTCTGTCTGATGGCCAGTTTGTGCTCGGAAGAGGTTTTGAACTGCTTGTTGTCCCAAACTGTACACTGTAGGCTCGTCTCTCGTGTTGCATTGCCAACGGGCTCGAGGCTACCGGTAGTCGTGCCAGCCAACCTTGTTGCGGAGGAAGTCTGGATTCGCCCCGAGTTTCTTGAAGAGCTTCTGGACGCCGGAGGCTTTCATCGACGCCTGGTAGCTGAAAGAACTGACTTTCTCGGCCGTTGGGGGGACAAGGAACACGAGTAAACTCCCGTTGGTGTTGGTTTTTCGGTCAAGAGGGATTCCATGGACGCGGCGGTTGTCTTTGGGTTGGATATTCATGGCGCCGTGTTTGGACAAGGTGTAAGCGATGCCGGCGAGGTTGAGGAATGTCATTCTGCGGTTAGAATTCTGCCAACACCTGTATCCTGCCGCTTAAATCTATATAGTATTTGAACTATGCCTGTATCGTTCAGTTTACGAAAAACAGCAAGTTGGCCTGTTTGGTCGAAATACTTGATCGTTGTTTGTTCCGCAAACTTGTTCGGGTTTACCAGGTGGGCACTATACTGCGGTATTGGACGAGCATCCTGCACGGATGACTCGGGGATAGACTTTCAAAATCTACGCTGTAGTTGGAATTAAGATGGTCCGCGATGAGGTCTGACTTGTTTAGATGTCTCCAAGGCTCCTAGACCTCTACCCAGACCCGCCGAGGCTTAATTTCAATCTCGGCAAAGTCAGCTTCGAGCTTGGAGAGCTCGCACCATCGTCGTTGTGTTTGTTAGCTATCATATCGTGCGCTCTCATCTCCCCGAGGATGTGGTTCTAAGACTCCGTGCTGTACAAGCTACAGCGGGTGACCAGACCTCGAGCCGGGTTATCGCGCGCTATATTCTGATGTACTGCGTGTATGGACTGGATACGCTGTAGTTATCAAAGCATTCTCTGAAATCACTTTTTATTTCTCTCAGGGGTGTCTGTTTTGTCCTCCTGAATGGTCGTAACTTTTCATATGTTGCCAAGGTAGACTATCACCTAAACTCTCACGGGCAAAGATTGGCCACACGGAGTATAGTCAAGGAATCCATTAGTCTACGTCTGCTAATGTGAAGCCATGCTCCCGAGCTGCATTAAGGCGCCATCCTGCCGTACGATGTACTCGGAGGGTACTAAAAGGACGTGGTTAAAGAATATGAAGAGATTCTGTATCTTGGCAGTGACGGTAAAGTAAACGCGGGACGAGCTGAGCGGTAATTCCCCATGTATTGCGGCAGTTGTCGGAAAGCTGGTACGCGTAGCTTGACATGATGTGTGCTACCCGAAACATGTTGATTGACGCATGGCCAATATAAGCAGCCTCAGGAAGCCACTGTAAGCAATGAATGCACGCCACTATTAAGTGGTTTTTCAGCTTGATGCTGGCTTTCTTTAGGCCTTAAGGAAGAGTTACATTGTTGGGTTGACAAGCGGGACGGGATATTTGACTTAAACCATGGTATCATAAAAAGAACGCGCTCTAATTTGATAGCAGTTAGAACCCCTTATATTCCGTTGCCACATGGCTTTAACCTCTTGCTACTTGAGGAAGCCATCAAGATTCTCATCAGTTGTGTCGAGTTTGCCACAGCATTCACCTTTGAGGTGTCAGCTTTATTCGCGGCGCATCCAATTGATCGACATGTTGGGCTGGAACTATGAAGTCTATCGTCGTTTGCATACAAGGTCTACTTCTCTGCGTCAGTGGTAGATGATTTTCTCTTGCTTGACGGCCACCACTGCCATAACTAGAATATGGAACAAGGAAGCATTCTTGGCGTCCGGTGTCCATGACGGCCAGCTAACTATCCCGCACACCCAGAACCCGATGTACCTAGCAGCGGAATTGCTCGTACGATGAGCAAAAGACGCGGCTTCTATGGGCTCTGTTGGCTTTGATGTTGGTCTTGGAGGCGCATGGTACATGTGAGCTGTCAGTGTCCCGGCGCTTTAGCTCCAGTTGACATCTGATTTGAACCCTGAGCGGTAACGTCTTGCGCAGGACAGAGCCTAGTTGGCTGTGGCATAGAAAACTAGCTCATTCCAATCATGCTACTGCTGCTAGTACTGCATGCTGCTGCTGTGGATTTCGGCTTTGGTCTCGGCAACACGCTGACTAAGACGAAATGGACCTAGATATGCATCTTTGTGGCTCCAGAGTCCAAATGGCATCACGAGCATTGCACTCGCATGAGGTCAAGTCGCTCATTTGACAATACTTCCCCCCATTGCATTGCCAGAAGCATCACTGTTCTGAAGTACACAGTCACACAGGGCTACTAGCGATCATACACTGCACCGATGACGGTGGAGGGGAGCATCCAGATCCTCGGCGGTTCAGAGGCGGTCTCGCAGAACGAGACTGAGAGCTACAGGGTGTTGAACGAGGCAGAGATTACAGTCGTCTTCGACAAGCTAGTCGACGCCGGCGTCATCAAATACGATTACACCTACACCACTGAGAATCGCAAGATCGGAGGGCTCGACGTACGCCATGCCCTGCTGCCCCTCGAGACAATCCCCGTACTGATGTTGCAGTCCTAGTTTGAATTTCGCATTTCAAAGGTCCTCAACAGCAAGCCAAACAACCCAAAAAGCCCTCCCAACACCAGAAATGGAACAGTGGCTCTGAAGCAGAGGCCTGGTAGCGACATCAACACCCAAGGCTCCGAAATTACCCGACTTGGCGAGAACCATTTCCTCGCCTTCAACGGCTTCGCATGCTACCGTCCGCATTTCCTGGTTCTGACACTTGACGGACACCGGCGCCAATGGGAGCCATTGAACATGGACGACTTCAGGGCCGTCGATGCCTTTCTCGGAGCGAATGGCAAGGACAATCTCGTCTTGTTCAACGGCGGCGCCGAGGCTGGGTGCAGCAGGTTGCACAAACACCTTCAGGCCATCCCGAAGCAGTCTTTTGACGGAAACCCTTGGCGAAACTTGGATTGCAACTCGGACGCGCTTCCCTTCGTCTACTTTGAACAGAAACTGAAGCTTAACTCGAGTCCCCAGGAGACTCTGGAGGTATACAAGGCGGGCTTGGCTTTCGTCGAGCACACCCTTGGATGTGAGACTGCAGAGCAGAATAGAGCCCCTCCCCACAACGTCGTCATGGACAGGGAGCGCATGGTGGTCATCCCTCGGCGCGCGGCTGGTAATGGCTTGGTTGGAGCGAATGCCGCGGGGATGCTGGGCATGATTTGGACGCAGAGCGAGGAGACGATGCAGCTATGGCTCGACGCCGGTCCGCCTGTTGTCCTGGAGCAGGTGGGGTTTCCGAGACTCTTTTAAGGACACCACTTCTTCTGATGTTGCTGTCGTCGTGTAGTGCGATGAAGCGGATAAGTTAGACACTTGGGAAACCAAGACTCTGTGGAATATGGTGGGTAAACCGGGATTCAATCTGTAGTCGTCCACATGAAGGAGTAGCATTCGAGTATGATGCTCAACGACTGGTAGAAGTGTAAATGTATATTCATCAGGTACATAGCAGCTGAAGCGGTGATGCGTCGACGTCATAATACCAACGCTTATAGTGACCAAAAAGCCGGCTTTCGTAGTGTCCCCGCTGCCTGTTTGCTCTTTACAGCTTTTCTTTCCACCAGGCTCTGGCAGTTTATAATTGTATCCTGCCTTTCAGTACTAAGTGAAATTGTGACAAGGGCTCGAATACGAGGGCTTAGAGCAAGGGCTTAATTCAGAGATAATCTGGTATAGTGTTAAAGGTCCTTGGTTTTCTAAGAGAAATAAAGAGCGTGGTAATTATTATATATATATAAAAGGAATAGAGATACTATAAGTGGTAAGTATATTATATATTTAATTTAAGTAAGCTTATAGGTTTTATATTAATATTAAGCTTTATTAAGTTTTAATTATATAATATTAGCTTTTCTTTTAAAAAAGCTTACCTTAAGCTATTTAAAGCTATTAAAACTCTTAAGTTATATAGCTTATTTAAGTAATTTAATTTAAATTATTATAATAATAATAAAGCGCTCTCTTTAATAAAGTATTTATAAGGTTTTTAAGTTTAATAACGTTTTATAAGCTATTCTTTTTATTTAATTAAATATTTAATATAATTATTAGTCTTTTAAGTAGAATGGCAAGGACAATCTCGTCTTGTTCAACGGCGGCGCCGAGGCTGGGTGCAGCAGGTTGCACAAACACCTTCAGGCCATCCCGAAGCAGTCTTTTGACGGAAACCCTTGGCGAAACTTGGATTGCAACTCGGACGCGCTTCCCTTCGTCTACTTTGAACAGAAACTGAAGCTTAACTCGAGTCCCCAGGAGACTCTGGAGGTATACAAGGCGGGCTTGGCTTTCGTCGAGCACACCCTTGGATGTGAGACTGCAGAGCAGAATAGAGCCCCTCCCCACAACGTCGTCATGGACAGGGAGCGCATGGTGGTCATCCCTCGGCGCGCGGCTGGTAATGGCTTGGTTGGAGCGAATGCCGCGGGGATGCTGGGCATGATTTGGACGCAGAGCGAGGAGACGATGCAGCTATGGCTCGACGCCGGTCCGCCTGTTGTCCTGGAGCAGGTGGGGTTTCCGAGACTCTTTTAAGGACACCACTTCTTCTGATGTTGCTGTCGTCGTGTAGTGCGATGAAGCGGATAAGTTAGACACTTGGGAAACCAAGACTCTGTGGAATATGGTGGGTAAACCGGGATTCAATCTGTAGTCGTCCACATGAAGGAGTAGCATTCGAGTATGATGCTCAACGACTGGTAGAAGTGTAAATGTATATTCATCAGGTACATAGCAGCTGAAGCGGTGATGCGTCGACGTCATAATACCAACGCTTATAGTGACCAAAAAGCCGGCTTTCGTAGTGTCCCCGCTGCCTGTTTGCTCTTTACAGCTTTTCTTTCCACCAGGCTCTGGCAGTTTATAATTGTATCCTGCCTTTCAGTACTAAGTGAAATTGTGACAAGGGCTCGAATACGAGGGCTTAGAGCAAGGGCTTAATTCAGAGATAATCTGGTATAGTGTTAAAGGTCCTTGGTTTACTAAGAGAAATAAAGAGCGTGGTAATTATTATATATATATAAAAGGAATAGAGATACTATAAGTGGTAAGTATATTATATATTTAATTTAAGTAAGCTTATAGGTTTTATATTAATATTAAGCTTTATTAAGTTTTAATTATATAATATTAGCTTTTCTTTTAAAACAGCTTACCTAGACTAATAATATTCATTTAATAATAAATAAGAAAATTACCTTAATTACTTTAAAGAGTTTAAGTATTTTTTTATTTAGCTTTTTAATAGATTACTTTATTTTAATATTATAAGTATTTAATATTATTAATTATTTTTCTTTATAAATTAAGGCCTTTACATGCTTTTTATTCGCTTAGTTTTTTATTCTTTATTAACTTTAATTAAAACTCTTTTTAATCTTCTTATATACTTATATTATCTAGTAAAAGTAAAATCTATTATTTAGGTTATATAGCTACCTGTAACGGTAGCTTAGGACTTTAAGCTTTTTAAAGCTATTTAAACCCTTAAGTTATATGACTTATTATTTAAATAATTTAATTTAAATTATTATAATAATAATAAAACGCTCTCTTTAATAAAGTATTTATAAGGTTTTTAAGTCTAATAACGTTTTATAAGTTATTCTTTCCACTTAATTAAATATTTAATATAATTATTAGTCTTTTAAGAATTTATAATTACCTTTATCTAGTAATTAAATTTAATTATTAATATCTCTTTAAAAACCTAGCTTATATTTAAGCTATTAAGATCTTCTTAATAAGGCTTAATTAATAAGATATAAAAGAAATTTTAAATTCTTTAAAAGGCTAATAATATTCATTTAATAATAAATAAGAAAATTACCT